GGCTACAGCCTGCAAGGAAATCCACTGAGCTTGGAGACAAAACACATTCCCTTTCTACAGGATGTTATCACCGGACAGAATCTCTGTGAGGATTTTCTTGAATAAGAACAGTTTGCATTTATTTAAAAGCACAATGTTAACTTGATAATAAAAAATGTAGTTTATACCCTGTACAAGAAAGCCTTATCAAGAAATGTAATCAGTAACTCCTAAAATCTCAAAAACTACTGGTCCAAAAGGACTAGAAGTTGTTTAGAATTTAGAAGTTCAACTATAGAATTTCCTATATTTGTGGTTTTGTTTATAATGCAAATAAATTCTTCTATTAGTCCAAGGAAGAAAGAGCTTGCTTAAAAGTATATGAAAACAAGATTGTTTACAATCAATAATATACTATTAAAAACTTGTGAAAGTCTAATTTCTTTTTTAAATTAGATATAGAATATTGAGTAACTACAGAATTTGTTAGTATAGCTGTGAGAATACTGCATTTATGAAACCAGAAGGTACTACAGGACAATATCTAACATTTTAAATAGCATAAATGGTATTTGAGAAGTGCTGTATTAAATGCCTGGCTAATTATTGACAAAATATATCCATAACAAGCTATTTGATTTACATACTAGTGTTTTGGAGAGAAAAAAAATTACGAGGCTTTGAAACTGAAATAGCAGTAATCTTTAGCTTGTAATAAAATCTACTTGAGTTTAAAAAGCTTTAGAGCTTTTCAAGTTTTTCCATGTTAGATGAGGATACCAGAAAAGACGTAGGTTTAAGCAATAACAGTAACCGTGCAAGCATTGACACCACTCCTCTGCTACTGCTACTTGGCTTTTGAACTATTCTTCTATGAGTGTGGAAGAAATATCAGCACTTTATGAAATTGAACGGTTTGCAATATTTTGACCAGCAGAAAACAAGACACCCCCCCCTACCGCCCCCCCCCGATTTTGACAACCAGCTAAAAGGAATGAAGTCAGAAGAATTTATAGTGTGAAAGTTGCTTGAAAATACACTTGATGAAAATGACGGAAATACAGTTCCTGTTGTACCAAACAATCAGATTTAAATAAGGAGATTTTGAAAGGCAGTGTGAGAGGGGAAGACTGATTTATTATTCTAATAGATATTTTATGATTAGTCACCAAAACGTATAATCTTTTTAATCAAATCAATTAGAAAAAGTAAAGAGCAGGAACTGGAAGCATTATTAAAAAACTTCCAAGTGTTATCAGTGCCTCAGAGACAGGCATAAGAAAAGGTAAGAACCATCTATCCCCCTACAAAGGCTCTTTTTTTTTTTAATGTATAAAAAGTGCTTAACACTACTGAGATAGCAATCTCTACTCAAAATTCTACTCAGGTGGAATAATAAAATCCTACCAAATACTAACCTGAAATGCTACCTCTCTAACGAGGACACAAAATATGTGTCTGGATTCACCACATCAGAATATAAAAAAATATATCATTTCTTGTGAATACATTTATTGTTTATTGCAGCATATACTCCTAAGTAGCCAATAAATTCTTAGCGCAGAGAGGATTTATTCTTTTTATTTTGGAACAGCCCTACCAGAAGGTTTTTGATCAAAGCCAGTTCCACATTTTGCAGAGAATGCTTTTTTTCAGTATATTCTTTCCAAATCTTTTAACTTCTCATCTTCCTTCTCCCTCACCATCCTCTACCCCTAGCCTAAGAATCTTTCAAGGACTTTTTTAGTATAAAAACCTTCAGAAATAAATCAAACTCCTTGCCAAAACAGTATGTCTAGAAATTCAAGATACAGGAAGAATGGCGGAATGTCAGTCATTCCAGACAGATTGGTTAGTAGAGCTAGAATTCAAAAGAGTAATACCTCAAGCATCTAAAAAAATAGTTTAGACAAGTTGGACAGATGGCTTTATTTTAATGAGAGAATATAAATAATCAGAAAATTATTTTAGTCTACAGACCTGCTGAAAGGTGACTTGTACACGAACCCACATGCTCAAGGACAAACCCAAACCATGCTCCACCATATTACATGTTAATATAAATTACTGTAAAGACTGCCTGGCTTTTTCTTGCAGCAGTCGTTTCAATAACCTAAGAGTTGTCATACTAATTCAGTGACACCACTGGTACTTTTAATTAGGGATTTTTTTATGTCCCTTACTTGAATTTACTCCATGTCCCTGAAATGAAGTTAGATGACTATCTCTAGAAAGAGATATACTTTAATATTAAAGTTGATAAGTATTATAATTAGTGATGAACAACAGAAACTAAACCTTTCATGACAGGGATACACAGAAAGCATCATCATGCCATCAAAAGTATCACTGTATTACTAAATGTTTTGCACACAAGGGTCAGTGGGACCTTAGGGGGTTGTAGGTTCTGCCTGCCAGTGACCCTACTTACTCTGGAAGGATGGGAGGGAAAAAGAAAAGCAGCAGCATAAAAGAATTAGGTAGTACCGTGGCCCTGCTATGTACAAGTAGTGCTGATATTGCTGCAGTATCTGCATACAAGAATTCCAGAATAGTTTGGTATTACATTGGATGAAGTAAACTACACAGCAATAGAAACTGCTGTGGCAGTGACATATTTTCCACTAAGAGACATATAACAACGGTACTTACCATATTTGTGTGGTGCATAAAAAGAGGTAGATGAGAGGGTTATGTTATGATCATCATCAATAACTAATGTGGAGGAAAAGATGGTAATTAGGCAGTTGAAAACTGCCCTTATGCACAGGAATTTATAAACACCTCAGACCTCTGTAAACCTGCTTTAGTACAATGTTCACACAGTTAATCCAAGTTAAAACTGAAATTTATAGTAGGTTTAGTATTTAAACAGGATTACTTCTTATAACTGATTGCTGAGGATTACACTTTTTCACGTGTTACACGAAGCCCACAATGCGATTTAACATTTTTGCTGTTCAGCCTATAATCTTTGAAGAGTCCATGATATTGTAACATTCTCCTAAAGGAGAGATGGTTGGACGGTCACTGAAGAAACAGCAGTGTCAGTTGAAATGTCACTACTCCCAAGTTTTTGACCCAGAAGGTTAATACTTGCCTAGTAAAGTCAGAAAAAATAGATCACATAGACACTTCTCATTTGCTTTAGTGCAAAGGGAGCTGGATAATGTACCCCAATACAAAAAGATGTTTAAGCTAAATGTTTCTGTACCTAAGCAGAAAGGACAACTCAAAGGATCCCTCATCCACCAGCATCTGTTCTGGTCTGATAGCCTCTGGCAATGGGAGGTGACTTCTACCAGAGATCTAATAACATAGCTGGAAGATGGTAACACCTTCATTGAGTGCAGCCATTTTGCAAAGAGCCTCTGACCGTGCTTTGCTCTGTGTCCCATGGATGAATGTAGGTAAATGCTGTTCTTAAATCAAATGGAAGTAGCTGCTAGAGGACACTGCAACAGACTTTGGGATATCAGCTCCATTCCGGCCAAGAACATAATCTTGGAACCCTCTGTGCCAAATTAGGATGTTTTCTTATAGGGTCTCACACATGTAGACACTATTTTTCTATTGTGTGATCCCCACAGTAGTTAGAAGTAAGGCCGAAATGCTATATTATGTTATCATAAAGAAAAAAAAAAAGAAGATTCTAGCAATGTGCCACTAGTAACAAAGGTATTTGCATTAAAAATACAAAATTAGACACTTTGAGGGATAGAATTTCCCTTGCTCTGTCTCCATTAATGATCAGCGAAATTAGGGGGTATTGGTTCCAGCTATAAAGAACTTCTGTGTTGCAGACACCTTTGCAAGTGGGCAGGTTAGGATACAAATGCTCCTTGCAAGACAGAGGACTAGGGTCATGGTCTTGTCCATCGCCTGTCACTCACAGCATCACGGGGGGTTCTGGCCATGCTACAGCCCAGGCAATAACCGTAGGAGATCATTATCTCTTAGGGACTTAGGAAATAATTCTGCAACTTGATTAAAATTAAAACCTGGATTTTTAAAAGAGTTAGTTGTTCAAATTAATTATTTTATTATTGAAATATTAAACCCTATAATTTCTGTTGTTTAAATATTATCAATTTTTTACCTATTACTAAAATTGAATACAACTAACACTACGGTTCAACACCGCTTATTTTGATGCTGTTCTTTTTCAGTTTTTGATAGACTGAATCTTTTCTGCACAGACAATGCATTGACCTATTGCAGGAATGCAGGGAAGCTAGAACCCTGGCAGACAAGGGTCAAGGACACCAACAGCAGAGTGGGAACACTATCAAGATTGAAGAAAAACACATCAGCTGAATGCTTCTGTTTAAACGATCTGCAGTGAAATAGCTGGCACTGCTGAAATTAAAATGGGCTTATTCTAAGTTTTAAGCACAATGCATTGCCATGAGTAGTCCACTTTGTATCTCTCCGTTTCACCAAAACTCTGCACTCAAGTAGATCAAGATTTAAAGACTTTTTTCAAGCATTAAAGCAAGAAACTTCTTATAAATAGAAAAAATTGATTAGATTATGGGCTATAATTTTACCGGAAATAGTGGCCAGGGACTGTGGAATTTTATGAAGTCTTCAGTACCAATAGATAAATAAATATACATGTGCAAAGCCTGAACTCACATTCTAAAAATATCTTACCCATTTTCAGACTTGGTAAGTAGAGACAATGAGAGTTTAAAACGTTAGTAATACTAGCCGTCACAATAACCGTACATAAGCTGCTATGAACAATCGCTTTTCCAGAACAAAGCACCCGATCCATACAGGCGAGGGGACGGCTGTAAGAGTTTGGCGAGGTTCAGCATACCGCATCCCTAGGCAGCACAGCGCTCAGGAGCAGGCTTGTTAGTAACAACACTAGCACACAGGGGTAGTTCTAATTCTAAACAGATGAAGACAGCAGTTCGGGGCAATGACTAGGACAAGGGTCATGCTAAACTTATTTGCTTTCACACCCGGTGAGAAATTCAAGAATACCTAGCGAAATATTCATTGCCACCCACCTTCTGTGGTGACTGGGAGAGAAATCTCCATGCAGGCTGCAGACTGCGCTTTTCTGAAGGGGGGCCTCCCGGGCCCTCGGCGGTTTGCTTTTGAGACGTCTGCGCTGGAAAGTCGTTTTCCTGAACTGCAGCTCTGGGATGTTGGACTTGTACAGTGACCGTTCACGTGATCTGGAAAGTGAACGCAAAAAGTGCTAGGTAAAGTGCCAGCTTTCGAAATTCAGAATGGAGGAGAGATGTACGTTCTGATATTTAAGAATGGGTTAAATCAAATCTTCTGAGAAAAACTACTTATTTGTTATCAGCCCAGCATGTATATGTAGGAATAACTCACCATATCTTTAAGGTATACTTTTTAAAAAACAAAGGACATAGAACTGGTACATGTTCTTACAGCTGGAGATCCCACAGCATTTTGTTGACCTATGTGAACAGGCAATTAAGATACTGCTGGTAACACTGTCATCCCTGCTGTTGTGTCTCCTAACAGATACCAAACAAATCTGAAAACTATCTTTCCTTTTTCGCTCTTCAAGAACTGCAAGTGTAATTTACTACAGGATAGAATTTAGAGCTAGACATCTTCCTTACCTGACTTGAAGCTGCACAAAACAGGCATCTAACTGCCACTATTTGCGATAATTATAAAACTAGCCATAATATTGCTAAGTATTTTATTCTTTATAGACCACATAGATTTATTTTACTGCTAAGGCAGCTGACTGCTGAACAATTGATTTGTCTGCTACAGATTTAAAGATACGAGGCCAAGTCCTTGGACCCCTGCTAGTGGCTATGGTCAATCAGCACAGCACGTAATGCTGTCTGATGGGGTGAGAAACAAAACAGGGCTGCTTTAAACTCTGTCCACATTCGTCTGTTCTTTGTTACTGGCAACAGGTCTTTAAAGCACAACAATCCACTCATCAAGGCTTAGATCAGAGTTCAGAGTGGGTTGGACTGGACTATGAAACATTCATGCAATATTTTTCTTCCTCTCATGTTGGGTAAGGCAACATGAGAAGAATTACTGAACACAATTTTCCCCTCAACATAGGAAAGGCTACACACCTCGGTATAATTGAATTATTTTTGGTCAGCAGGTAATTCATACTTACTAGTTAAAGTAAACAGCAAGTAATATGCATAACAAAAATTCAGACTTATGCCAGTACACTGAATATTTCTATTCAAGACTATGGACGCTCAATACCATAGTTAAGGACAAGCTTGGATTTTCTCCCTTCACCTTAAATGTCAGGTTATTTACAGCTGAGAATTAGATTAATCTTTAAGATTCTGTACGTAATATCATATTCGGTTAACTGTCTTTGATTTGTATTGTATCCAAGAAAGAGATGAACGTTAATATACCAAGATAAATTTATTTCTTGGTTACCATGCCATGAAAGCTCCACTGTAGATGATGAAAAGCTATTTCTATATTCAGATGATAAAACAGATTCTATACTGAACAGAGCATATAGTGTGCTATTATATGTAGTCTTCCAATGTGTAACGCATGTCCTTTCCACATGAAAGCAGTTCAGTCCTAATGAACAAAATTGGAAAGAATTGTTTAGCATTATAGTTTAGAAGGCAATTTAGTACCTGTACTGCATAATGAGATGGCTCTGTAGGAGACACAACTTTCATGACTCTTATGTTTCTTAATACATGGTGATTAACTGAGCTAACAGCAGATATAAAACTGATGTGCATGATTCATTCAACTTGTAGTTAGAGGTTTTTCCAAAATATGCTGGCACTATCGATATATTTCAGTAGAAAGTCCTTTGAGTTTGGGGGCTTTGTTCAAGGGCACAGGCTGACTGTTCAACCTCAGCAACAGACACATCCTCATCAGCTGCTGCCTTTCTTCAAAATTCAGTTTGTGTGAAGGAGTTTCAGCATGATATCTAATTATCTCCAGGGGGATCCTACGAAGTGGTGAGGAACACAACAGAGTAAAAAGAATCATATTCTATAGAAACATCAACGTTTGTGAGTCTCTTTCCCTGCACATTGTACAGAATGGGCACAATTCATCTAAACCCCCATTCATTATACCAGATTTTAAGACAAATGCTGGTATGTTTCTCTTAGTATAGAATGCTTGTCTCGGTTACCTTCAATGACCCAGATTAAACAAAAACAATCAGTAGCATCTGGGCACCTAAATCCCTTTAGCTGTTCTGACAATGCCTTTCCAAGCAAGCAAAGCTAGGTCCTGCGTAGAAAAAAAATAAAATATTAGGCCACATCCTAGAAGATGCAAGTATATCCCTTCAAGTACTGAAGTTGGTGAAGTGTTAGTGAGTGCTAAAACAACGACCTGAAGAGGGATTTTAGTGATCAGCTACACACTTTTCTACATTTTAACACTATTCTCTTCTTCTGATTAGATGTGATTATTTTCAAAGATATACAACAAGGAGTAATGCAGCTCTTCAAACCTAAGTAAAAATAAAAAGACACTGTACAAAGAGCAATATAATTATGGGAATTATGACTGCAACATTTTTGCTGAGAAGATGATAAGAATCGAGCAGATAAAAGACTACCCAAATCTATGAGAAAATCCTATGCGTGTATTTAAAAATTATTTTCTCAATTTTTTATGGTATAAGCTCAGTGATGCAAAAAGTTTCTAAGGAAAGGTTATGTACTATTTAAAAAAGGGTTCCTTAACAAATTGTCTGAAAGAAAATGAAGTGTGCAAGAAAAGCAGTATGAAAAAATAATAATAGCTTTCTACAGTGTACTTTCTAAGGGAGACTGTGAGAATGCTATCACCCTTTGCCAAAATGACTGCAATGATTTATTAGCCCTCTGAGACCCAAGTCACCCGATCCTCCTCTGCCATGACAGATGTTTTCCAATCACCCCAAACAACAGATAGAGGCGGCTTGTAAAAATCAGGCTTTTTTTTCCAGCTTTGCTCAATTTGTAAGGAAGAACAACATTTTAACTTTCTTCTTTGCTGGCTTACTGCTTTGGTCATGTGGTCACTGGGGCTTTTCTCATATCAGAAATATTAGTTGATACCGAGCACCAGTTGATATCAGAGACATCGACACTGGTACTTAAGAAGCAGCACATGGATTGCTTGGTGCTGTTGATGCAATAGTGCAACAGCTCCTAACTCTCTCTTCTTCTGGAGAAGGCAGTAAACAGTTGCTTGTGGAGAAAGCACTGCACAAAAAGCCCTCTTCTCTTTTCTACCCTTTCCCACTGCGGTATTCGCCATCGCCTCTTATCCCTTCCCACGAGTGCTGCTGCCCATGAGGTCAAGGGATTTGGCATTATGAGGTCAAGGGAACTTGCATTATACTCTCTAGTGCTCCTAGGTTTCACGTACCAGAGTTATTAATACACTACATTTGGGCATCCTGGCTCAGCAGAGCTTATCCTTAAAGCAGTCCCCAGAACGTCTAACAGCCATCCCATTCTGCCAGGGCAGCAGCCTTTTCTCATGTTTGTGGACGGTGAACTAAATAGTCAGGGCTCAGTTTGTAGCTATTCTGTTCATTAATTTAAAAATGCAAGGCTCATGCAAGCCCTTGGAAGTAATCATAGCAGATTACCTCATGCTACAATACATTAGTCCATTTTATACTCATCTAACTCCACTGATTTAATAAAGCAGACAGTAACAAATTGCATCTAAGATGTATTAAAATATATAAAAGAAGTTCATGACATAAAATTCTCTAATGTTCTCCACGTGCTGCTCTTACAGTGCAGGTCCTAGTTGTTTGCCTTCATCTGGGCTCATAGCATTATCCATATGAATTAAAAATGCTTTAAGCTACCCCTGTTACGAAAAAGTAGCACCATTCAGTGCAACATGAATCCCAAAAACTGCTTCAAAAAAGAAACAGAACTGTGCTGGATGGAAGGCCAGAGTGTCACGAAAAACGCCAGTGAGATGATAAGATTAAGAGGAACTGAAGAAGTAACAGTAGTTGCATGAACTTGACGAAACTACTGAGATGCCTTCTGAGAGATGCAATGTGCAACGTGACGGCAGCAAGCCTGCTGGGGAGCCTCAAATTTAATCTAATTTTTTTCGAGCAGTATTACACAGACAGGAAGCCTATTATATACACACATGCTGATTTTAGTTTGCACACAGCAACAGGTATATGTTACACAACCTGTCTTTCATAGAACTGGTTTAAACTACTTGGTGACCTCTGCAAAAGGAACCAATGATTTACCAGTGAAAAGCAGAACCCTTGTTAAAACCAAATGTATTAAAAATGTCAGTAAGAAAGGAGAAACATGCATTTGCAGTTGCTGCCTAGAAAGTTGTGTTACACTAGACATAACAGATAAAAAAAAAACAAACTTTTTTTTCAAGTTCTAACAAAGGAATAAATTCACATAGAAAAACTAGCTGAAAACCAGCTCTTACTAATGACCAGAGAGAGGCTGAGAACAAAGGAATTTAAATACGACTAATTAGAAACATTATAATATCATCCTATGTTGTAAGGAAGTAATCAATAAAAGAGCAGGCAAGAGGACCACAAAGAGAGATGCTTTAATATAGATCAGAAAGAACCTGAAAAATGAGTCCCAGAGAATCTCCTCAACAAATGTTGAGGAATACAATCTCTGCTGTTAAAGGGAGGTAAAGTCCATGTGCTTCCACTGGGGGATTTTTGTGTATTATCAATAAATTAGATTTTGGGTAATAATTATGGGGGTGAGTAACCTTTTTTCTTTACACAGCAAAGAGATACACATTTAAATAAAGAAAAAAAGAGATATCATAACTGTACAAATGGCCCGAAGAACAGTCTCAGGTCTGCATGTAAAATAACCAAAATTTGTGTAAAAGTAGTGGGATCGTTCGTTAGTGAGAACACAGACTGACCCCTTAAGTGTCTAACAGATTATTCTTAAAAGAAAATCTCTTACAAAGTTAGGATCACAATTTTCTCTTGGTGCAGTTCTGTCAACCAGGCAAGCGAGGCGGTGTGAGGTCTAGTGGAAGAGGTTAGTATAGAGGTACTGCCAGCAAAATTGTATATTTACCATCATGACTTCATCAGTTTGAAGATGAAGGGTGAATTGCCCTATTGATATACTGCTAGTACATTTAGGTCCACGCTAAGAGTATAATGTGCTCTCATTGTAATATACTGTCTGTGTAATATAAT